TAATATTTTTTACAAAAAAGATTATTAAGAAACAATCCTAAATAATATTAAATTTGAAAATGATGATCACGAGTATATTACTCATCACCTTACTTATATTATGTATGTTAGATAATACTAATATTATTTTGGATCCGTTTACTTATATATGGAAATCCTTAATTATGTATCTTGGATAATCAATAATATTATATGTTAATATATGTTTTCAGATTACAACAATACGAACTCCTATTACGAGGATAATATAAATAATTAAAAATAAATACGAAAAAATATAAATACTATTTAAAAAATAAAAAAGAAATATAATAATTTTGATTTAACTTAAATAGAATTTTAGAACCATGCTACATATATTAATCCTCTATCTTACTTACATATTTATAAATTTCATACTTAATTTAATAACTAACAAAGATTTATTAATGGAAATTCGTGTATATATAGGTTGAAATCAATAGAGTACCTATACTTAATAGAAATTCCAATACTATTTTTGATTCCTTACTTATTTGTCTTACTTCTATGAATATATATTATTGATCACCTTACTTATATATGGTCATTAACAAAAATTTACGGAAAATCTTATTAAGAAACAATCCTAAATAATACTAAATTTGTAAATTATGATCACAAGTATATTATTCATCACCTTACTTATATTATGTATCTTGGATAATACTAATATTGTTTTCGATCTCTTTAATTACTTATATATGAAAATCTTTAATTATGTATCTTGGATAATCAATAATATTATATGTAAATATATGTATTCAGATTACAACAATACAAACTCCAATTACGATGATAATATAAAAAATTAAAAATAAATATGAAGAAATATAATTACTATTTAAGAAATGAAAAAAATTATAATATTTTTAATTAATTTAAATAGAATTTTAGGACCATGCTACATTATTAATCCTTTACCAAGGAATTCTCACAATAATAAAGTCCTTCCTAAAATACAAAAGCGAAGTAAATAACTAAATGTGAAACTATCCTAATAGAGCCGTGCGTTAGAAAATGATTCATGCATAGCCATGAATGGTATGATATGATTTCCAAGAATAGATTATTTCCTTAACATATGGTGATTGACAAAATTTACGAAAAATATTATTAGGAAACAATCCTAAACAGTACTAAATTTGAAAATTATGATCACGAGTATATTATTCATCACCTTACTTATATTATGTATGTTCGATAATGCTAATATTATTTTGGATCCCTTTACTTATATATGGCAATCGTTAATTATGTATCTTGGATAATCAATAATATTATTCTGGATTCATTTATTTTTAGTAAGGAATTCGTTATATCTAGGATGGACCCAATATTATTTTGAATTCCTTACTTATATATCTAACTGGCAATGAGTTAAGTTGCTCGCTTTTATATCCAAATTTATGAAAACTCTTATATACTTGGGTCAAAATCCTATTATAAAAAGAGATATATAATGAGTTGAAATGTGACATCCACCACCCATTTTCATTTTCCATTTCAATACATAGGCATTCAGAATTAATTATGCAATAAATAAGCGGAGAATCATTAATTCAACTTCAGCGTTTTGTTTTTAAAATGATTGGTGGTAGGAGCATCCTATTTTTTAATTTCAATTGGAGCTATGAAAAATCAAGTTGACGATACATGGACGAGATCAACTAGAGATGCAAGAGAAAGAAGAAAAAGAATACTTCAACAAAAAATTGACGATACATGGTTGCTTTTTAATGAGCATTGAAAAATTTTCTTATCTTCATATCTAAATCGTTAGTATAGATAAATTAATTTATGTTAAATAAATAAAGTTTTATACAAAATTTAAAATTCGATGTCCATTTTAGAAGGATTTAACAAATTCTCCATGTGAAAATGAACACTCCAAGAAAAGATAAAATATGTGTATTTTTTAAAATCATAGTCATGTTATTTTATCAATTATAATATGCATCCGTAAAAAATTAAACGTCGTTCATAGGTTTCATAGAAATCATGGATAATTAAAATGTATAATTGTTGATTTATCTAGGTATGCATATAGCTCACTGATTATTTTTTATCAATTTTATATTTACATAAATAGGAATAAAATGATGTCTAACCATGACTCTTTAATTTCATTTTTCTATATTTTTATGAAAAAAATAGTTTATACATATTGAATATTTTAAACAATTGAATGGACGAATATTAACAAAGTTGAGTAAAAATATATTTATATTTAAATTTTTTAAAAAAAATTCAAAACTTTGCAATAAATTTGATATGAAATGGGTGAATATAAAAACATGTGAGTACATATTTTAAAATAAAATGGTATGCATGCGAGGAAAAAAAATTAGGCATTGATACGGAATGATCAATGTAAATAATTCAAAGTTCAAATATAATTTTTAAATTGGAAAATTTACTTATATCTAACACGTAATTCATTTATCAAAATGGCAACTAAGCTGTGTTCAATTGAAATAATTGATACTCCGTATATATATTCATAGTCAGAGGAATTTACCTAAATAACACTAAAACATAATGACTTTCCTTAAATAGCAACATATTTTTTTTATTTCCTAATGTAGCACTATTAGTCATTATCCATTAGTCATTATTTAGATAAATGTTCACCGTCACAGGATATTATTTCTCCTTTTAGACATTATTAAGTGTTATTTAAGGGATAAAAAGTTTAAGTCTTATATTGGGAAATGACTTTTGTTTTAGTGCTATTTAGTGCAGATATAAAAAATGAAAATTTTGAAAAATTATATTGGGAAAAAGTTTGAAAAATGAAAAATTAAAAATTTGAAAATGAAAAATGAAAAATTTGAAAAAGTTTATGTCTTATATTGGGAAATGATTTATGTTTGAGAATATGAAAAATTATTCTTTTTTTGAGGATAGAGCACTATTGGCACCAACTTTTGAAGTAGTTGAAATGATAAATAAATTTGTTCTGTCCTTCATTTTTGGTAATGAAAAGGAGTACTTGAGTTCTAATTCTTCGTGCCAAGCAAAAGCAGATGTAGGTGTTGATGACGATTGGATAACAGTTGAGTTTTTGAACGAAATCAAATGTTTGGAAATCGCAAACCACAAAATAGTCTTGAAAAAGGGGGTACTGATTATGCTATTGAGGAACATTGACCAAACATCTGGAATGTGTAATGGGACAAGATTAATCGTTCAAGAGCTGCGAAATAATGTTATCGGTGCAATTGTGGTTTTGGGAAATCGAGTCGGGGAAAAAGTTTACATCCCTAGAATGAATTTGGTACCATCTGATCCAGGGCTACCCGTGAAGTTCCAAAGAAGACAATTCCCAATCGCCTCATGTTTTGATATAACTATCAACAAAAGTCAAGATCAAACATTGACATTTGCGGGATTATTTTTAACCAAGTCAGTGTTCACACATGGTCAACTATATTTTGCTGTTTCACGGGTGAAGACAAAGACATGATTAAAAATATTAGTTCTAGATGACAATGGAAACCCTTGCAACCATTCCAAAAATGTTGTATACCCTGAAGTCTTTCAGAAAATTTGGTATTAAAATAAACATTGTTAACTCTACATTTTGTTCCTCAAATATTATTTATTTTACTTTGACTTTTTTCATTTATAGTATTAAAAATCATGTGAGCAATATATTTTCTTTATTCCAAAAAATAAATTTCATTGAAATAATTCAGAATCGACATAAATTTCTTTCGACCTCGTGCATTGCACGGGTCAGAATACTAGTTATTGAAGAAGTGGTATTTTCATTGATTAATTATGAGAGGAATACATGTATATATATACAAGGTCTCAATCCTAGTTATGTTAGGAGAGATATTCTAGGAAACTATACAACTATGGAAACAAATCATAATACAATAATATTAAATATATTTTATATATTTAACATGCTCCCGGCTACGTCGGATGCGCTGGGGGTCGGATACGCAGGCTCTCTCTGAAGTCAAGAAATAAGAGGGAGGGCAGTCCTTTCGTGAAGATGTCGGCAAACTGAGAAGATGAAGGAACATGGAGAACTTTGATCTGACCAAGTGCCACTTTATCGCGTACAAAGTGTATATCGACCTCGACGTGCTTGGTGCGCTGATGTTGCACCGGATTTGATGATAGGTACACAGCACTGACATTGTCATAGAAGACGATTGTGGCACGACGAAGTGGTTGTTGTAGCTCAAGAAGAAGGTTCCGGATCCAGCAGGTCTCTGCTACAGCATTGGCAGTTGCCCGATATTCAGCTTCGGCACTGGAACGAGAGGTGGTGGCCTGGCGTTTGGATGACCAGGAAACGAGATTATCACCCAGGAAGACACAGTAACCCGATGTGGAACGTCGAGTGTCGGGACAGCCAGCCCAATCTGCATCAGAATAAGCCTGTAGGTAGTCTGTGGCTGAACGTGTCAACTGGATCCCGTGGGTGGCGGTGCCACTAAGATAGCGTAGAACGCGCTTCATGGCAGTGAGATGAACATCACGTGGAGCATGAAGATGTAAGCAGAGCTGCTGAACAGCATATGTGATGTCAGGNGACGATTGTGGCGCGACGAAGTGGTTGTTGTAGCTCAAGAAGAAGGTTCCGGATCCAGCAGGTCTCTGCTACAGCATTGGCAACTGCCCGATATTCAGCTTCGGCACTGGAACGAGAGGTGGTGGCCTGGCGTTTGGATGACCAGGAAACGAGATTATCACCCAGGAAGACACAGTAACCCGATGTGGAACGTCGAGTGTCGGGACAGCCAGCCCAATCTGCATCAGAATAAGCCTGTAGGTAGTCTGTGGCTGAACGTGTCAACTGGATCCCGTGGGTGGCGGTGCCACTAAGATAGCGTAGAACGCACTTCATGGCAGTGAGATGAACATCACGTGGAGCATGAAGATGTAAGCAGAGCTGCTGAACAGCATATGTGATGTCAGGACGAGTGAATGTAAGATACTGCAGCGCGCCAACGATAGACCTGTAAAAAGAGGGGTCGGAGAGAGCCGAGCCAGCCGTGGTAGATAGTTTTGCCTTCGTGTCCACTGGAGTAGAGATGGGGCGGCAGGAGACCATCCCTGCCCGCTCAAGAATGTCGTGGGCAAATTGAGTCTGGTGGAAGAAGAGGCCAGTGGCAGTACGATGCACATTGATCCCGAGGAAAAAATGCAAGTCGCCCATGTCTGTCATGGAGAATTCAGCCTTAAGCTGCTGAATGAGACTCTGGAGAAGTGTAGCGGAGGATGCCGTCAGTACAATGTCATCAACATATAGGAGCAGGTAGGCCGTGCCCATGGGCTGAGAGAAGATGAAGAGGGAAGTGTCGGCCTTACATCCTCGAAAGCCAATAGNTTCGTTTGAAGGTCAAGGCATCTATAACCACGTTGGTTTGAGGGATATCCAAGAAAGATGCAGCGGGCGGAGCGTGGTGCAAGTTTGTGTAGAGCGGTGGCGGAGACATTGGGGTAGCAGAGACAGCCAAAGACGCGAAGGTGGGAGTAATGAGGAGGTGAGTTGTAGAGAACGGAGTGAGGAGTTTGATTGTTTAATGTGGTGGTGGGGAGTATGTTGAAGAGATGGGCTGCCATGTAGAGGGCTTCGACCCAAAATTCAGGCGGGAGTTGGGCTTGGAAAAGGAGGGTGCGAACTGTGTTATTGATGGTACGAATGGTGCGTTCGGCACGTCCGTTTTGTTGACTGGTGTGAGGGAAGGAGAAACGGAAAAGAATTCCTAAAGAGTTAAAAATATTTTTAAGAGGTGAGTTTCTGTATTCAGTTCCGTTGTCACATTGAACAGCTTTAATTGTTGTGTTAAAATGATTTTTCACATATGCCACAAAAGAATTTAAGTGAGTAAAAGCATCACTTTTATATCTTAAAGGAAACACCCACAAGTAATGAGAGAAATCATCCAACAACAACATATAGAATTTAAAACCAGTAATACTTGGCACAGGGGATTGCCATAAGTTTGTATGCAAAAGTTGAAACGGGAAATAAGAAACACGACTAGAAGAGTAAAATGGGAGGCGCACATGCTTTCCCAACTGACACGCATGACAAAGAGTTTGTTGACAATTTGTAAATAAAGGAAAATTGTGAGGGACTCCACGAAGAACTACAGGACTTGGGTGGCCAAGACGACGATGCCAGGTTTGATGATCTACGGACGAAACATGAGCTTGGGCAGGTGTTGGTTCGCTGACAGGGTAGAGGGGACCCACATTATTGGACCGATGCATCACGGTCCCCGTCTGACGATCCTTCACAGAAAAACCATGAGCATCAAATTCAACAGTGCAGTTGTTATCACGAGTGAGTTGGCGGACAGAGATAAGATTATGTGTGATATGAGGGGAAATGAGGACATTGTGTAAGGAAAGGGGAGGGGTGGTGGGGAGGGTGTGGTTACCAACCGCCGTAGTGCGAACTTTAGATCCATTACCAACAGTGATATAGTGAGGTGAATATAAAACTTGAGAAGAGACATGAGAAAGAGTACCTGGATTGGAGGCAATATGGTGTGTAGCACCGGTATCCATGAGCCATGTGGGTTCTCGGAGGGACAGAGTGTC